AATGTTCTTGTATTGAGAAAAAATATTTGCCAATGTGGTAAGCTAATTTTGCTTGCCTAGAATTCCTCAAACTAGCATAAAAATCTAACCATTGAAATACTGTAATGGGCCCTAAAACTAGAAAATATGCCAAACATGTAATGTATTTAATTTATTACAAACATAATTCTTTACTTTACACTTTATTAAAATAAATATTTTTCACTTTATTTAGTTGAATTCAAGAATTTGTACCTCAATCTAGACAAGACACATTTTTTTCAAACAGCATAATAAAAATAAGTGACTTTTTCTTGAATGAAGGCACCAGAACCATTCTTATTTTATTTTATTTTTTAATAAAACAATTAAAAACTAAACAGCTTCTGTCATGTCCAGGAAACTTTGTTAAGTTAATTCATTCAGTTTTGTCTCGTGTCTATGTTGTCTTGTGATTTCCTGTTTTATTTTGGTTCCACTTCCTTCTGCTCTTGGTCACCAGTTTTACTTTCTCGCCTATTTGGGTTCTGTTTTCCCGCCTCTTAGCGGATTCCTGGTGCTCCGCCCTTTGATTGTTTCCACCGTGGGTGGCCCTTACCTTTGTGTGGTACGTATATTAGTCCGGGTGTTCTCCCTTATGTCCGTGCCAGTTCGTCTGCTCCATGTTGTTCAGCAGAAACAGGCTCTTATTCCATGCACTGCCGTTGTCATAGTCTTTGGTCTGTTTTTGTCACTTTTGTTTGTTAAAGAGTGATTTTCTGTTTGTTTTCTTTTACGTTCCTTAGTTGGTTCCTCGTACAGTGATTGATTTTTTTTAGTTAATAAAAGCATTATTTTGAAACTTTCGTCTGAGAGTTGTGCATTTGGGTTCTGGTCCATAGTTCAGTCGTGACAGCTTCTTCATTTACAACACTGGGACAAGACTACTTTCTCTTACACTGAAAAGTTGTGCAAGTGATCTTACTCTTAAAAGAAGGGAAATAATCTTGTTCCTCTGCTTGGATAACATGCAAACCATGGTTGTAACTTCTTATTGGTTAAATTTAGCTCAATATTAACTGTAATGTCTTATAAAGACAAAGTTAGATAAGTAAACCCAAGCAAGTCAGAGGACAAACCAGGGCAGTGGAGCAAACCCTGCCACCAACAGCTGCTGCTGGTGATATTCCAATGATGTCGTATCTTAAGCAAATGAAGGAACCGCTGCATTCCAAGGTCAGTCAGGATAAGAACAGTCCTGTCTGATAGCGGCAATCAGATAAGCATTATGTCATTCATGTCAGAAAACAGACAGGGAGCTGAGCCAAGAGTGACATCACTGCTGACCAGAGGACTCAACACTGCCCATTCACCTCCTTTAATATGAGAAATGCTGGTTGTTGTTTAAAGGTTATTCAGAGAATGGTGTTGTTTGTTGTCAGAAATCTGTGTGGTGTCTGGTATTGCTCAGCAGCTCTATAAAACTCTTATCTGCGTGCATGCGCAAGAATGTAGAAATATCTGCAACACAAACCTTTGAACCCACGTGCTGCAATGTCTGAGACAACAGAGGATGAGCAGTGTTAAAGAACACATGCCCCTGTCATGAGATTACCAAGAGTTTTACCAGCACAAGCTGCTAGAGACCAGGAAAGGCACGTTGTTTTCATTTCATCTTGGTTTCTCTTGCATCATTTCCTCACTGGTATCAGTAGGCTAGAGCCCCTTTTCCCTCCTACTCTATATATTTTCAGCTTTAAAAACTTGTTTGCCAGTAAAATAATGCATTTTTTAAAGTTTGTGGCAAACATTACTCTGCTGCTGTTACCCCCCAGAATAGACATAAATTGAGTAACTGTTCAACTCTTAAGTCTGGGTATTTAATGACTGTGACACAGACCAGGAGCTCCCCCTACAGGCAAAGTAACAGAAGTGACATCACTGACCAACTTACCCTTTCTGTTCATCAAAATAAATCAATAAAATAGTAAACATGAACACACATAACATTGCATATAAGTTAGGGTTCAAGAGTACATTACTTTAGACTTTAATGACTGCCCACATCATGAAGACCCTAGAGAGACTGGTTCTAAAACCACTGCGGCCCATGGTCAAACCTGACATGGACCCACTCCAGTTTGCCTACCAGCCCCGACTGGGAGTTGAGGACGCCATCATCTTCCTGCTCAATCGCATCTACACCCACCTGGACAAGCCGGCGAGCACTGTGAGGGTCATGTTTTTTGACTTCTCCAGTGCTTTCAACACTATCCGGCCAGCTCTGCTGGGTGAGAAGCTGACAGCAGTGGAGGTGGATGGTTTTTCAACTACCTGACTGGCAGACCGCAGTATGTGCGCCTGCAACACTGTGTCAGAGTGATAAGCAACACCGGACCTCCCAGGGAACTGTCTTCTCTTCCTTCCTCTTCACCCTCTACACCATAGACTTCAACATAACACTGAGTCCTGCCACCTTCAGAAGTTTTCTGATGACTCTGCTGTGGTAGGGTGTATCAGCAGGTTGATGAGACTGCGTGACTTTGTCACAGTGTGTGAGCAGGACCATCTACTGCTCACTGTGACTAAGACTAAAGAGCTGGTTGTAGACCTGAGGAAAGCTAAGGCTCCACTTACCCCTGTTTCCATCCAGGGGGTCAGTGTAGACACTGTGGATAAATACAAGTACCTGGGAGTTCACATTGATAATAAACTAAGACTAAACTAAGCTAAGAACAGTCAAGCCCTTTACAGGAAGGGCCAAAGCAGGCTGAGGTCCTTCAACATCTGTCGGACAGTGCTGAGCATGTTCTATGAGTCTGTGGTGGCCAGTGCTATCCTGTTTGCTGTTGTCTGCTGGGGCAGCAGGTTGAGGGTAGTCAACGCTAAGAGACTCAATAAACTGATCCGCAAGGCCAGTGACATTGTGGGAGTGGAGCTAGACTCTTTGATGTCAAAGAGGTGGATGCTGTCCAAGACTCATTCCACCGAGATGCTCCACAGAGAGGCACAGGAAGTCATTCCTACCTGTCACCATCAAACTCTTTATATTCCTTTATTTGTCCCACAATGGGGAAATTCCAATGTTACAGCAACAAAGTGGATAGAGAAAAAACAGTATAAAAAACAGTAAAAGTAAGGAAATAATATAATATAATAACTCCGTTCCTCGTGTCGTTCAAAATACTTGCGTCAAATGCAGTCATAAGAGTACCTCTCGCTTATCAGAAACTGTGTGTTTAGTTCTTTACTTCACCTTCTGTCCAATCATTAGAATGTTGCCTAAGAAATAGATAAAATGAGTGCACCGAGTAGAAGTCTGTATCATTACATCGTATAAGCATAATGATGCGATACAGAAGACTTTCAGTCTACCAAAATTATGTGTTTTGCATTGTATTACTCTAATGTAGTTTTGGCTGGAAGAAGGGAGCCAGCATGATTAATTGTATAATGAGTTTCAGTAGTCACTAGAGACTTGTGGTGTCTCCTCCTGATTACAATCTCCGAACTAATCTAGAGAGATGATGATGAATATCTTCATGTATTGTCATTTTGCCCGTGAGTGTAATAAGCATAACACTGGAGACTACTCTCGGCCAAATTCCCAAGACATTAAGGTCAACATATCTAGAAGTTATTGAATAAAACACATAGCACCAACCTATAACAGTACACAATACACACTTACAGAATCCAAAAATTCACGCATTAGGTACGTTATAGGTACATCTATATATATTACTGATTCACCAGATCCTCATTTATAACCGTAACCTCGCATCCTGCCGCTCCTTCCTCCGGTTAAGCATCTGGTTGTATTTGCAGGTACTCGATAGAAAATAAGAACTAATACAAGATGAAAAACAAATAAAGCAATACTAATGCGTTCAAGACTGCTAGGGATGGGCAGAAGTTATAA